TATCCTTGGGCCGTCACTGCTGTCATACTAGTTACTGGTATCAGTTAAACACTTACTATAAGTTATTTTTCATTATCTATATTTTATATAGAAGTATTATGCTTTCTGTTGCTAAATGCTTTGAGTTGCTAAATGTTTTGAGTTATTTTTCCATTTTCTAGATATGTGTGGGACATTACGGATGGGCTACCATGACTTGCTTATCTCTGTTCATCTGGAAACGCTATGCAGTGCAAGGTACGTCAGTAGGTTTAAGTATTAGACTCGCCAAATGTATATGTACAGTGTACTAGACCCATAGGCCCAGCATAAATTATCAGATTTTTATGTGTCAGACTTGTTTAATCAGACATTATCTGATATCAGATAGTATATGCTTGCAGAATTGTTTTGCAATAGTGGCGTGAATGGCAATCAAGGACCTAGAGTCTGAAGGGGTGGAACGTATGGTCGATAGAAGAAGGATTTGTGGGTGTTCTATTAGAAGGTATCAGGGCTCAGGGGCTACCCTCCTAAAAACCTCAGAATTGTAGCCATTTTAATCTTGCCTAAATGGTTTCACACACTTTTTTTAGTGAATTTTTGTCTGCTACCTAGTGTAGGGGGAGGAGTGGGCCTTTTGTCACCCCCTGCATTCGCCACTAGCTTGTTTCAGGAATGTCTGTATGATCTGATACACAGAAATCTAATTCATGTCCAGATTTGCAAAACCAATTCAACAACTTATTTGCCCCTCCACATGACTTTTTTTAGATTTTCCAAATCTAAATTCAGTGTTCTTCTCCTTAAGGAAAATGACCCAGGATGAGTTTATTATCCCTTTGGGGGTTAACTGTGGCAAAGTTTATGAGTGTGATGCGGATAATGAGCCACGAAGCCACTCTATCAAGAGGGCGCTAAGTACAACTCAGAACACCTCCATCAGACCTTCACAACTGATGACGGATGATAATGATACGTAAGTATTTCAGCTGACTTATGAGCTACCAATTCGTAACTGGAATCAAATTACAACAGAAGTCACTGTCATGCTAGATAGATATAAGTTCAAAATTGTTCTTGTGCACCACTTTCAAAACTAGACAGCTAAAACAAGACACCACCCTTCTCATTTTGCTTCTTTTTGTAGTTTTTTTAGAGTGCAGATTGAAATCAAGATCAATAGGACAGTGTACCTTTATAAATATTCAATAGACATTTATTACAGTTGATTAGGTTTTGGTGTATTTTTAAAATGGTATTGTGATATATATAATATATATATAATAAATTAAAGTTGGACAATTTCACACAAATAAAAAATAGAAATTATCAAACAAGGTAATAATAGGACTACAGAATCATGTTTTACATGCTGTTGTAGTTTGAACGAACTAACGAATGAAGTGTAAAAACATGTTATCTATAATAAATTAAAATATGGAATAGAAGATTCTGATAAATTTTGTTTTGAACTATTTATATTAACTATAGTATCTACTCTCTAATGCAATAAGAATATTTTGTTTACAGTTTTTGAAATATAAACCTTTCATGGTGACAGCTGGGCATGTGACAAAGAAAGGCGATTTTTGAAACTTAGAAGTACAATTTAAGTCATTCTATTTAGAGGGGGACATAGATAAATATACTGTAGGCCTAGTATCAAACACACACAACTCCAGTGAATATTTATTCAATACTGTACATATTTTTCTGATTTTGTTATTATTTAGACCTGTAAAGAGCACAGAGACCAGCCCACCACCTTTCAACCGATTGTTGCTGAAGGGACACATCATTCAGTGCCTCACCGAGTCTGTATCTCATGGGGTTTCCCAATCTAGGGATCCGATTGGTGGAAGTTACAATAATTTATTTGTGTAAGTAAGATATATTCGTCAGGGAGGTCTATATGACACATTATACTTCTATATACAGTATATGTAGTCTTCACAGCCTTAAGATTTGAATTCGGTCTCATCCCTCTATTCCTCAAATAAATCTCATATGTTTGTTACTTGTGGTAGTGCAGTACTGTGGCTGCCGTGGATCTCCGGGGTACAACAGAAACTTGAATTTGGATTTGAAAAGAGGATCAGGAAGAAAATTAGCACTAGGTATTATATAACACAGACAAAAATATAATATTAATTAGTTTTTATTTTATTTAGACCATTGCTAAGATTATGTGATTGTTTGCTTGTCATGGGAGAGATTGATGATGAAGATTTAAAACAGCTGCTTATCCTTATCGACCCAACAACATTTGATGATACATATGTTTCAGGTAAGATTCACTTTTTGTAAAAGATAAAGAAAAAATAATATTCAAAATAGCAATACAACTAACTATCACCACCACCCCCCCCCCCTCCACCTCATTTTGTTGAAGGTAGGTGGAGGTACGGGTGATAAGGATTATACATCCAGATTTCAATCCAAATTTGTTTGAATTTGAATAAGAATTTGGTTAAGAATGAACTTTATTATTTTTTACAGTTGTTTTTTTTTTTATTCTTTTTCTATTTAAAATAATTATTCATACATATCTTAACTAGGTGTCAGCACCCATATTGGTCTTCTTCAAATGCACCTTGACGAACCAGTTAAGCTAGAGATGTGTTACCTATTGCAACATTTGTGTGACAGTCAGTTACGGCACCGAGTCGAAGCCATCGTCAATTTCTCGGATGATTTTGTAGCCGAATGCCAAGCGGTATGTAAAGTAACTCAATCGCTCTGATTGAGTAATGAGGGAATTTCAATTTTCCCTTAGTAGCTGCAATGCAGTACACCAGAAGAAAAATCCCCTCCTCTTTTCCTAAGAGTGTACTGTGTCCTTTGATATACTGTCACATGAGCCATCTTTTAAAAAGAACCATGAATGGTCCAAATTTTGCTTGAGAATGACGGTGGACTTAAAGGAAAAGACCTCCATACACACACAATGGCTACCACCAGTTTAGAGCAAGTTTACCATATTGCTCTCTTAGTACAATTTATGATAGTATTGTGTCTTGTCTTTTAACATTCCATATTTAAGTGACTCGCTTAGCACAAGATGAAAGCAAAACGTCTGATGTTCTGTGTACTCATATATCTACTAAAGAATTGGCATTGCTTGCAAAAACATCTGTTTATAAGTCTGTGAAAATTATTTTATAGAAAAATCCAAGTTTGTTGTATATCTATACATTTTTAATGAATAGATATTGTTTTCCAACAAAGACCAAAGTTATATGAAGTGTGGGAAGTAATTTCCATGTTTCTCTTTCAGGACCAGGAGAGAAGGTTCCAAGAAGTGAGTTCTGCAGACTTACCTCCCATTGTTACAGCTAAGAAAACCAAAGAATTCCGATCAACACCTATTGAACAGGTAAGTTGATATACGGGCTATTGATACACCAACCTTAATCCGATTGGATGTTATAGAATATAAGGTTTGGATTAGGAATATATATATAACAGCAAATCAGAATTGGGAATTTGTTTAAGACTAGTGTAACTATAGCCACTGCCTAAATTTAATACTGTATATTCCTTGGTAAGCCTAAATTGTAATGTAGTAGGTATTAATTAAGTAATTAGACATATATTTACCGCTTTGAATATCACAAAACAAAATTATAATATTATCTGTTTTACATAGTGAAAAATATAAGTGAGTGCTCTACCTCTTCAGAACAAACGGTTGACTTTTGAGTCATGTTACGAAAAGTTAACTTGCATTTCCCTACATCTCATTGTTGCTGATTCTTTAACTTTCAAATTAATGGTTTTTTTGTAAGCATTCTCATGTTGTAAAAAACACAAAGAAAAAATATTTTTATTTATTTTAAAAATTTATTTTCAATTCATCTTCAGATGAGAATGCTTCTGAGCTTCAAAACAGAAGAAGAGCTTAGCATTTGTCCATGTCGAGAAGATCTACGCGACGTCTTGACTGCGTTCCATGAAAATTTGATCTCGCATTGCGGTGTGCATGAGCAAACTGAAAATGATGACAAAGATATCTCTTGGATTGGTCGTTTCCTCCAGTGGTTAAAGGGATCCAAAAAGGACACGGAAGAAAAAGAAGACTTCATGAAAAAGTTTTCAGGAGGTTAGTTAATTCTTTGGAGAGATGTTTTGCCCTGCCTGATGTGTTATTGTACTGAATACTCAATCCCTGTGAAAAACTTCTTAAGTGATTCATGTAGGAACTGAATCCATGACCTCTAGATAACTAGGATGGTGTCATAACCACTAGACTACAGAAATTGCCCTTAGTGACTAGTGTTAAATGATAAATTCTTTATTCCTAAAAATATAATACTGTGATTCAATTCTCATTTTAAATATTTTATTAAAGAAAATGAGAAAAATCAGAAAGACATTAGAAGTAACATAGTATAATGAGTAAATGTAAAAGACAATATTCCTCCAACACAATGGTATTGCCTAAAAGCAAAATTAATTGCAGTAGGTTGTATGTATTGTAGTAACGTCCGTTATTATGTTGTTTTTTTTTTTTCGTACAAGACTCGTTATCCTTCCTGATCTCTGGAACTATGGTGAATTGGGCACAAGAGCAACACATTGAGGATTCAGTCCTTATCCGGGAAATGTTTCGACTGATGTACCGGCAGTACGATGGGGTGGGAGAGGTAAGAATGTGTGGCACTGCCTTCTCTAATCTATAGAGAACTGTGTCTCTAAACTCGTACCACCCTGAAACACCCCCTCATTAATGAGCAATGCTATGTAAGCAGTTAATATGGTTGAGTGCCTCGTACAGCCAAGTCTACCTATATACACTTTTCAACCAGCGTATCTTTCATAACTTTGCCACTACATTTGTGCCTTGTAAACTTTTATTTTCAATGAAAATATGTAATGACAGTGGTAGATCAATATTTTGTTTATTAAATTCATGTATAATGGTTATCTTTTAGCTTTGCAGAGCTTTATACAAGACGTATGTTGTTAGTAGTGACCAGAAGGAAGACATCATAAACCTGTTGACATCGCTGGGTCACATAAGGTCGTTACTTACGATCCAAATGGGGCAAATGGAAGAAGAAGCTCTCATTAAGCATTTGTGGTTCGTAAACACTGATATTTTAAGCTTTGCGTATCAGATATATTCAGGCTCAACGGTGTCTGATCAAAATTTTATAGTATAACCATGAAGGAACCATGGTCTAAACTAATTCCTCCATGGTATAACGTATTTGTGATGCATCTCATTGTGTGCTAATATAGGGATGGGCTTGGAATTTTTTTATGGATAGGAGTGATCATTCTCATCTATTAACAATTCTTTCTGTTCTTTATTATTTCCAGGGAGAAGCGTTTGCTTGTTTCAGGCATATACAATATAACCAATCACATTTTTTTTACATTAGACATTCTGAGTTTAGTTTTCCCACTAAGTCACAAAATGTTCATGTATCATTCATTTTCTTCTATAATACATCCAGGGAGATGACTGATAACAAAGTATTCTATCAGCACCCTGACCTAATGAGGGCGCTGTGTGTTCATGAGACGGTCATGAACGTTATGGTCAATGTCCTAGAAAAACACCAGACTTCTATCCAGCTGAGTAGTGGTGAGGTAAACCCGTCCAATCAGAGCAACCAACTCAGTGGCATGGCCAGTACAGCAAAATCTCAGGTAAAATTTGAGCCTGTATTTTTGTATGAGTAATTTTATATTTTATCAACAATTTACATCTGATTTAAGTGAACAATTAGTTTGAGTAAGAACATGCAATAAAAATATAGCCCAGGCTCATGTACTAATAAATATACAAATGATTCAGACTTGCTCCATTTCTCAGCATATGTGTTTGCTTCATGTAATATTTTGGCAATAAAGTTTTGATTAATGTTTATTTATAGTAAACTCTCTTAGTATATACCATTTTATTGGCTCGTAAAAATATAACCCATGCTCTTGTGCTTATAAATAAACTAATGATTTGAACTCGCTACATTATTCAACATCTATGTGTATATGAACATTTATATTATTATATATATATTAAAC